AAGGGATATTTGCCCCAACTTTCTGCATTGGCGAGGACCATTATAAAGATGTGACGGGTAAGTACTTCGTGTGAAGTGAATCGCTACACTCTTTTCGGGATTTATTTCTATTCTCCATTTGCGGAACCAGTCGCCGAGGCGGTCGGCGGCGCTTTGGAGTCGAGTGGTTAGTAGTCTAAGGTTGCGGTCTGAATAAAAGAGCGCCGTGTCATCCGCGAAAAGCGCGAGATTGACGTGGGGGTCTTTAGGTATATCGCTCGTGTAGAGCGTAAAGAGCAAAGGTGAGAGGCAGGAGCCTTGTGGTACGCCGGCCGTGAGGCGGCGGCTTGTGGAGAGGGTGCCTTCAACTCGATATCGAAAAGAGCGGTTTGACAGGAAGGCCCGGATGGTGTGTACGAGCCTATCTGGCACTTTGATTGTGTACAGCTTGTAAAGCAAGCCGTTGTGCCAGACCTTGTCGAATGCTTTTGCGACATCGAAGAAAAGAGCCCCTGTACTAATATGTTTAGGGTGATTTAGGCCTTTTAGGATATGTTCCGTTAGGCGGAATAGTTGATCGGGACAGGAATGTCTAGCTCGAAAGCCGAATTGTTCTGCCGGCAGAAGGCCGTTGGTAAACACGTGTTCATTGAGCCTGTTTAATAAAAGCTGCTCGTAGAGCTTCCCCAGGCAACTGAGGAGGCTGATGGGACGATAACTAGAGGGCTGGTTGGCTGGTTTATTCGGCTTGCGAATGCCGATAACCGTGGCTTCTTTCCAGTCGTCGAGAAAGGAGCAACTGGAGAGTAAAGTGTTGTAAATGGTCGCCAGTAAACATATAAGCGGCCCAGGGAGAGGTTTAAGAATTTTGTTACTGATATTATCTGGGCCCGGGGCGGATTTCGGTTTTAGATTTTCAATAATATCTTTGACCTCTTTGGGGGTCACTGAATTTAAAGGTTCACCTTCCGGTGGAAGCGCAGCCCTAGTCTCGATTACGCGGTCCATCTCCGTTAGATGGACTGTATCGGTGTGTTCGCGCGATGGCGTACATTGCTGCTCTAGGTTGTCCGCAAGGCATTCGGCTTTTTCGGAGTCATCTAGGGCTACTGAAGCGCTATTAGGTCTAACTAACGGCGGTAGAGATTCGCGGGGGTCTGCTTTCAAACTGCGGGCCAACCGCCAGTAGGCGGTGTGCGATAGCTCGATGTCCTCTAGGAGATTGTCCCACCTTGTATGTCGGTGTTCCGATACACGATCTTTGACTTCTAGCTGAAGGCGTCGAAGTAGGGTTCGGTTCGATTCCGATCGGTATCGGTCGAAAGCGCGTTTGGCTGCATTTTTCTGTCTAATTAGCAGTCGTAGGTCGGGCGGAAAGTTAAACCGTCGGTCGCCCGACAGTTTTACCGTCCGTTCCGAGTCTGTGACTGCGGAAGTAATAGTTTCGCGGAGACTCGCTATCGCTCGATTTGCGTCATCGAACGTAGCTCTCTGGCATCGTCTCGGGTAAGTCTACTAAGTCCTGGGGGTCCAAGGCTTTGAGTTTGACCTCAAGACGATGCCAGTCCACTACGGATTTGGTCGGAGGGACCGCGCCGGCGTTCTGGCCCAGATTACACAGGACGGGCCTGTGGTCTGAGTCTAGTTCATGGATTGTCTCTATCGACTCGATGTCGAGCGAGACCTCCCTGAATAACATTACGTCTAGGACACTCGGTGACGCGTGCTGGTAGTTGTCCACCGTAGGATACCTAGTGGGAGTCGCGGGAGCGACTATACTAAAATTTAGGTTATCGGATAACCTAAAGAGATGCTTTCCGTTGTTATTTGGGATGCTGTTGGTGTCCCATGAGCCGTGTTTGCAGTTTAGATCTCCTGCAATTAGCACGGAAGGGCCTAAGTTAAGAAGCGTATCTAGGTCGCTTTGAAGTAGGGTTCTATTCCCCGAGAGGTAGGCTGAGACTAGTACAAGCGGCCTGTGGCCGGTGAGCGCTAACCTACACGCGGATGCCTCTATTTGACTTAGCTCTGGAATGTCGAGCGGGCAACAGTGCAAGGACCGTTTATAATAAATTAGTGTGCCTCCCAGACGGTTTGCTAACCGGTCGTGGCGGACAATATTGTAATTTGCGATTCTGGGATCGCGTACACTAGGTTTCAAGAATGTCTCTTGCACTAGGAAAATATCTACGTTATAATCGCGAAGGAATTCCGCGATTTCATCCCTTTGACCCTTTATGCCGTTTGCGTTGAAATACGAAACAACCAGAGCCCGAGGTTTTGTTCTACCTGCGGTTGTACTTCCCATTAAGGTGTTTTTATGGGTCTAATTAACGACGCGGCGGAGCGCGGTTTTATTGCGCGGACTATTGTTTTTTTACGGTTGGCTCGTAAAAGCCCAAAGGGCTTCCACAAGCGTTTTGTGTTGGCTAATTGCCCTAAGACGCTCGTGGCCAGATGTGGCGGCCGCTATTTTAGCGGACAATACGGCGAGTTCCTGCCTATTGATTCTATCAAGTAAGCTGCAAATATTAGCGATTTGCGCGAATGGGTCGTCCTTGTTTTCCGCGAAAACTGACGGAGTTGGCTGCACCTGCGGCCGCGGCGCCGTTTGAGAGGCGGGCAGCTGTTGTGCGATCGGTCGTGAGGCGACCGGCACGATTACCTGCGCGGCCACCTGGAGTTTCGCCCAGGCGTTTGTGACGGGTACGGGCGCGGGAATGTATTTAACGGGCGCGGGTTTGGGCAACGTAGACTTCGCGGGAGATTTTCTCGCGGGAGTTTTCGGGGCCTTAGCGCAGCCTCTATAACTAGCCGGATGGCCGGTAGTGTGACAGTTTACATAGTCCGGTGGATCTGCGCAATCTTTCGGCCTCGTGCACTCGGTTGTGCCGTGGTCACCGGTGCATTTGACGCACCTTGGGTGAGCGAAGCAGTTATTGGCCGTGTGGCCAAAATGTTGACAGTTGTGGCACTGTGCCACAACACCTGATTTACGTGGGGGCTCGATGACTAAGTCACTGAGCCCACAGACCCTCTTCAGGTTGAAGATGGCCTTACCTTCCGGGGTAGGGTCAAGTTCCACCATGACCATGTCCATAGGGACACGGGTGCGAGGGTGCCTGAGACGACGCACGGCGTGAACAGGGTATCCCTGAGTGCAGATGTCGACCTTAGCCATATCGACATCCGACTCTTTTGGGACGCCCTTAATTACGACCCGAAGTTTACGCTCTTCGGGTAGTGAGTAGGTGTGGAAACCTACCTTAGCTTCGCGCAAGTATTTCATTACGCGGCGGAAATCGTCCGAAGAATCGAGGTATACGCGGATACCCATATGCGTATTCTTGGACCGGGGGTCTCGTATGTTATGGCGTACGAACCATGAACATATGTGATGCCACTTTGCCTATTCTTGGATTATAATTGGCGGCGGTGGCTTGATTTTTCGCTCGGAGGCGAATGTCGGTTCCGACTGGGCAGTCGCGGCTGCCTTTTTGGCGGGCGTCGCGGTGGGACGGTTTGACGGGGCGGCCTCGCTTTCGTGGTCGCTGTCCGTAGCGGGGCGTTTCTTGCCCTTTTTGCGCGATTTGACGACGGTGAAGCCGTCGGCGTTCGCGTTGTTAGCGGGGGTCGTTTCGACCTCCATGTCTGAGCCGCCGTCCGATTGTGAGTCGGGAACGACAGCGCGGAATTGGGCCGAAATTGGTTGCGCGGAAGGCGCGTTAGGATCGATCGCGGCGGCGGAGGTCGACGCGACGGGCGTTTCGATAGTCGCAGAGGGCGACACAATAGCTGGCGCAGAGGGCACCGGAGATGGCGGCGAGGCGCCAGCTGGTGAAGCCGGACTGTCGCTAGAGAATTCGACGACGATGCGTCGTTCCCTCGCGAAATTCAAATATTTTACTCATAATTCGGGGCATTCTTGACGCAGGAATTCCTCTATGAGGGAACCCATGTCGACGCTTGAGCCTTTGGGGCTTGCGCCCCACCGGCGTGTGGTTTACTAAATAGGCCTCCCCACCTTGCGGCAGTGAGGTGTGTGCCTAAAATTAACCTTTAATCCCCTGCGCTTTAGGTGCGCTAGGGTGAGTACCTAGCTGTCGCCTAATGCAACAAGCACACAGGTAAAAATTACAATGCCGCCTCTGAGACGAGAAATGTGTGTAGAATTCTACTTACGGACAAGAACCTGCCTACGAGCACAACACTACACTAACACTATCCGCTCGGAAGTCGGGCAAAGTTTCTTCGTTCTTCTATAATGTTTCTTCTTTCTTCTATAACTTTTCTTCACTCTTCTTGCTTGAGACTTCCCTAACCGTAGACCGCGAAACACGACAACGATGAGGCAAGCAGTGCACACCAAGAGATAAAAGAAATAATATAAGTAGCAACAACGGTTGCAAAATGGCTTCCGGGTCGGTTGGCATGGGCCCTCCGGCTCAGAGTAACGTCCGTTCCGTGTGGAAGCACGAAGCGGAATGTCATTATTATGTACCTAATTGCCCGCTTTCAGACACATGGTTGTTATGTTTATGAATATGTACGTCACTCACGTTCTTAGATTTTAAAAAGAGGGTGTTTAACTCTTTATTTTCTTCATAACAGATTTACGTGATTGCACATAACAAAATGAATGAAAAATTTCACCCATTTATCACGTTTCTTTTTAAAATTAAAATTTTTATAGTGCTAATCATTGCACTTCGGATGAAACATGAGAATTTGTAGAAAAAATGAGGAATAGTTTTTTGCCGCTGCGGGAATCCAACTCGCATCAGACAAACAGACAAACAGGCGTGGTTTAAATGTTTGAAGCGGTGAAAAGCTTTTGTTCCTTTTATAAAAAGAAAGTTGAAATATATTTTTTAAAGAATTTTCACCTTTCTAGGTTACCGAGAAAATCGGTGGTGATTATTTACCCATTTTATCATGGCGGTATAATGGGTAGGTAGGGAACCCTCGGCGCACGAGTTCGACTCACACTTGACCGGTTTTTTATCTTTTGAGTCATAGCGATGAAATGCAAGGTAAATTGCAGTATGTGTTTCGATACTTATAAACCTATTAACCTATTTGAAAACCTTTCGGGTACGCAGACACCTTCATTTGCCTATTAGTGCGTAAATCGGGAATTTTCCACGACAGTATTCACATTATATGCGAGTATTAAGGGACCCTTTGTTCTGAATCGGGATGATTCCCTTTGATATTGCCAGCCGGCGGAAGCTCGATAGATTGGTTGGGTAGGCCGATTGTACAGTGCGATTTACCAATAGCTTTGACTTTTCTCATTATATTAGTTAAGAAAAAAACACAAGTAACACAAGTATTCAAGATTTAAGTTTAAATTATTTGAAAACGACATTGATACTATTTATGAGCCCATATTTCTTGTGGCTTTACAGAAAAGATAAAACTTACGGAACTGGATTTGAAACAAACTGACGACTCCGTGGCGCAGTTGCCAAGGTATCGGCTTCGGCGTCGGGGGTCGTGGGTTCGATTCCCACATGGGATAGCGATGTGTGAGATCCAAAGGTAGTTGTTTCGGATCTGGGTGTTTGTCCTCGTGAAATTTATGTTTGTAAAACGTCCTTACAACACAGGATAATCTTATCCTGAAGTAAGGCCAATGTTTTTTAAAATATGAAACAATTTAAGCTCCAGAAAGTAATAAGTTTGTGGATGATTTTCTTATGTTAATTCTTGTTGCTCGCAGAACACTCTGGCCATTCTGGACAAGCTGGACATCGATAGCGAGAAGCCGTCTGAAGAGGAGATCGCAAGGCTCTTCGGCTACGAGGAGGCTTACCTATCCGGCGAGCTTGGCATTTGGCAAAGAGTCAAGCCAAAGATATGGGCGCTGTTCGACGAGCCATCTAGCTCCCCGGCCGCGAAGGTAAGCGCAGATAGAAAAAGATATCTATTTTTATTCCGATTTCAGTTTTCAACTGAGAGATAGCAAACTTACATTGAAATTATTAAAATATATATTTTACTATTATTATAGATATATTGTTTTGTATTAATTTTAATACGGCCTATTCGAGAAGTTCGGTCACTATGATAATACCAGTACAAAATTTAAAAATTACGAAATATAAACGTGTCGTACTCTTTCGTAGAAAAAAATTAATAGTTTGTTGTTATGTACTCGACTAGTCTATACTCAATTGTTGATAAGTGTTGAGCTTAATCGCAAAACTCTGAAATTATAAAACAATATCGTTGTATTTAATGTACTCAAGTATGCGTAAAATTTTCAATATCGTACATTCAAATATAAGTTATTTCGCTATCCAGTAATTGTGCTTTATCCTAATCAGCTTTATGTCAAGTCGGAAGCCCGTCATTTAAAGCCCTTACTTGTTCAAACGCTGGTTGTCAATTAGCATGAAAAGTCTCCTCAAACCAGAAGCCGTTCTAATCTCTAAGAAATAAATGAATACCATTGTGTACTGCGGATTGGTGGACTTCACATATTTTCGAAATGGTTTTTTTATTATTATTCCAAAAATATGCAAGTTTGATCAGGAGGTTTTCCTTGACCGCTGAACAAATAAGTCAGTACTTAATATTAACACTTTCATTGTTACCGGCACCGGGGAACGAACTCGGGTTGCTCGAGTATATTGAATTTATCGCGGTTATCAAGTAATAGTGTAACTAGTGAAAATTTGGCTTTTAAACTGTTAAAAATAACGTGATTTGAGCATTCGGAATTCTGTGCAATACGTTACGGGAGTTAGGTAATTTATCACGGGGACAGCGCTGACATTTTGTGACTCATTCGTCTTCTGTTAAAGGATTAAATTCGCTGATTTATTCATTTTCCCGCTATTTATTTAGGTAACTATACAATACTAGTAACTACTACTACTACTAAGTTTTAATATTTTTTATGAGATTGTGTGCTTCATCCCTAACAGAATTAGTTGGCATGGACAACATTACATGATAGTTAAGAAAGAGCCAAGAAGAGAATTATTTTCGTTTGCCACTAATGCAAAAAAGTTATTCTGGTTCTCACTTGCAAACAAAAAAATAGTAAACGACGCTATAGCTTATATACGCTTATATACTCCTTTTAAGAGTTCCGTACCGAAATGCTAAAACAGGACCCTATTACTAAGACTCCGCTGTATGTCTGTCCGTCCATCCGTCCAGGCTGTAATCTCATGAACCGTGATAGTTAGACAGTTGAAATTTTCACAGATAAAGTTTTTCCGTTGCCGCTGTAACAACGAATACTAAAAACAGAATAAAATAATATTTAAGTGGGGCTCCTATACAACGGAAAAAAAAAACATGATTTTTTTTGCCGTTTCTATTGATAATGGTACGGAAACTTCGGCTCGCACTTGGGGTTTTGACATTATATGTAAAGAACCATGGTTCAAGTTCAATCGAACTGAATTCTAATCCAGGCACCAATAAAATTGTTAACTGCGTTAGTAAAACATCTCGAGAGAACCTCAATATCAAGGACTAATAAGGAAAAATATAATAAAAGATGAATAAATGGTACATATAATAAATAAATAAATAACGCTACGACATGCACAAACTTTCATGCTTATTTATGCCTGTGTGTTTATGGATGTTTATGATAAATGCGTACGTTACAACGGATGGTTACCATTGTTGTGTTGGCGCTGACAACACTGTTTACCGGATATGACGTTTCTACTCGAGCTAAGGGACACGTGGTCGCATGGAGCGGTGGTCACTTGGATTCCGACTGCGTTCCCGGACGGTGATATAACCACTATTGCTGCTTGTCGTTATAATAGTTGTTAATATTCAAGTTCAGTAATAGTTAAAATATTAGGATCAAGGTAAAAACGTTAGAGCTCTTATAGTTGCATAAATGTCATGAACAACCGATACAACTGATACTTAAAATTTCCCGTAGCGGTGTTTGACTAATTGCTGTGGAAATGGCTTAATCTCCCGCTTAGCTCCATCCAATCGTCAATCATTGCGGAGATCGCGGGGAAATTCGGATATTGGCTCATTTTTCAGCCAATACTGTACGAACTTTAGAAACGGGAGGATTTTACGCCACTGACCATTAACAAATGTTTTGCTTTTAGACCGTTAATTTAGAATGTCAATGTTTAAAATATCCGTTATTTCCCTAAAGATTCAAATTCGCCTGAGGGTAGTCAATAAATTAGCAACTAATGTATACATTCGTACATATGCGTATAATAAATGATTTAGCCGCGGGTAAAAAAAAAAACATTTGATGTCTAAAATGTTTAGCTTTCCTTTCTTGTTGTCGTCTGTAGATTTTTAATGTGACTTCAAAAGCGAAAACTTTATGCTCAGCAGATATGGCACAATAAACTTGATGCTTTTATTATTTCTTGTTTATATAATTATATTACCAACACGACAATGAAGTATTTCAGAATCTTTCAGCAAAAAAGTAAAAAGTTACGTGTCGCCTAGGGTTGCCACATTTTTTAAGAGAAAAATAGTATTATTTTGTTCTAAGCTATAAAAATGTAATACTTTTCGGAAGTTAAGGGAAAGAACACGTTTATTACTCATATATTATTTAAAATATTATTTATCTTAATATTCATTTTCCATAAGAACTTATTATCTTTTGCTTTGGCCAACAATTCTATTATTTTTGAAATAATCATAAGAATCCGAACCATTTAGATTTGTATTAAAATAAATTAACACTTAATGTGTAATTAAAATAATAGATACTCTATTCCTTTTTACTCGCCATTTTTTGCCAGTTATGACAATATTGCAACATTGATAGTCTGGCTCCCCCATTCACTTCTATATTTTTAGAGGCATAGCAGGACAACCGACGCTCTCCATTTTGTTATTTTTAGTACAAAATAAGCAATTTTCGCGAATATATTTATTATTTAATATTTGACGTTACTGGCTATAGTAGTTGACATTTGTGACAAACAACAGAATATGCAACTGCCATAAATTCGTTCTGAAAATACCCCCACTGAGCAGTGAATATGCCCCAGTACAGATCATATTAAAACAGCGCGATGATTGTATTAGTAATGAAAGAATATTACATTTCGTATTACATATTTTGCTTTATTATATAGTACAATTGGCTAAATATTGTACGATACTGTATATTATACATAGTACGGGTGGCAACCCTAGTATCGCCTCTTAGTCCTCTACTTATATTAAAACATGAGAAACGCGTATGACATAATGAAAAAGCTTTATTCGCGCTGGTAATGGTATAAGTTTGTACGGCTTGGCTTAGAATCCTTGAAGTCTTAAGGTAATCCAGTCCAATTTGGTACACATAATATACCTAAATAATAAACCGTTTTAGTCACCTTCACACATATATGACCATTATACAGAGAAAAGGTTTATCTCCTATAAGCTTAAGTCTTTTAGTTGTAAGCTACATTAACTCAGAAAAGCGGGGAAAGGATTAGATCGAGGAGGCTGTTGCATAAATGGGCAGGTCCGTCGGGGTTAGTACCACGACCACATAGAAAACCGGCGTGAAGTGTTAATGTCATACTTCTGCGTGTCGTCTGGTAAACCCGGGGCGCACTCTATTGCAAATGTCCATGGGTGGCGGTTATCACTGAACATCAGGTGAACCTCCAGCTCCCTTGCCTTCTCACTCACAAAAAAGATAACTGCATGCTTTCTCAGAGTTCAAAAGCTTGAGCACTAATATTTTGTTTATATTGTTATGAACACACAAAGGAACTAACGCCATCTAGCGTCAATAGTAAAACTACTAAAGAACAAAGACAACATAAAACCCCCTATTCAACACTAGATGGCGTTAGAGGAACTGCTGTGGAACTATAGTCTCGAAAACCGGGTACATTCGCGAACTTTCCGGAATCACGAACATGTTCGTGCGTGTCGTGTACGTTCCAGGAATGATCTTTCTGGATTAGTCCGCAACCGGTCTCGGCCCATATAAAAAGCCGCGGGGAGGCGAGCGAAGACAGTTCAGTTTGAGCTACCTTCGAGGCGACTTCGGAGTGAAAACTAGTGATCAAGAGCGATACCAGTGAAACCTACGACTTGGCTACAATCTAGGACATCGTTAGTGCTTAGTGATTGGACCTAGTGCTTTGTGTTGGACCTAGCGCTAGTAAATAAAGTCTTCAAAAGAGTCAGCAGGTCTTTCTCTCCAAATCCTTCGAACCCCGAACACGTAACAATATCTACCCACTTCTAAGTACAAGGATACCAATATCCTTTTACGGAATACCCTCGTAAGTATACGCTCCACTGCTTAATAAGAGATCTCGACCTTGTTACTGATAACGAGGGATGCGACATCTCTGAGTGTAGACTTATGTCACTTGTAATTGTAAATTCCACCTGAGTTTATAACGTGTCGACTCTTTGCGGTTCCATTTTATCTTTTATTTACATGTTTAGCCTTAAAATTACTTATTACTGGTTATTGTATGAGTAAAAGAGGAAAGTTGGGAGCGTGGTGGTTATTTGTACCCAACACTAACACTTGTTGGCAACACTACCTTCTTAGCTCGATAAAACAAAAGTATAGCTAACAAACCTTTATTTTTTAAATAAAGGTTATCTTCTACATTGTTTAATCTTATTCTTTCTTACTAATGAATATTAAAAAATGCTAAAATGAACACTTATTTAGTAAGGGATGGCTTAATGCCAGTGTTGACAAAAATTGAAGAGTTATTATAAGTCGATGTCCATTCAAAACAAATAGACATCGACTTAAACTGGTAAAATATCGAGCTTCAAGGACATTACAAAATGATTGATGACACCGATTTTGTTCACAAGATTTGACTTTTGGTAGCAACGAGCGAGAAAAAATAGAAGGAACGTAGTTGGCCGTATTCAACTAAAATGCTGTATATAGCTACAAAAACA